CTGTTTGAAATAATGTCTTAAAGTACCTCTTCATGTCCAGCTTTTCCTCCACTTCTATTTACTAAGCTAGTAAATGGCTATAAGGCAAACAGTCATTTTCAAATTTTAATTTTTAAGTGCTGCTGTTATGGAATCTAATCTCAAAAAGCAGGAAGACATTATAAAATTTTATTTGGGAAGGTTTTGTTTCCATCTCTGAACATATCTTGTATGTAAAATTGTTTTTCCTTCTGGCTGTCAAATCTTTTGTTGGTTTTTGTTTGTTTGTTTGTTTTTTTAATCGAATGAGACTGGGAGGACACTAGTTTTTTCACATCAGTAGTATTCAGCTAGTGGATATCTGACTTGTGTAATTCTGCACAGTGAAAAATGTTGGTGGGAGAAACTGTCAATTTTGTAGTATTTAAAATGAGAGCTTGTTTTTCAAGCACATAGATGTCATTTGTGACTGTCATCTTCAGAGAGTAGTAGATACTGAAACCAGAGAGTTGTGAACACATGCTTTAATTCTGTTTTGATGTTGATATCAAGCAGACTTGTTAATGTACAGATTGAAATAAGATTAATGTTTACATTTTTGCAATGTTTGTGCATGTATGTACCCTCTGAGCAAAGTAAAGGAAGATTGTTTTTTGTTTTGCTAACTGTAAAAATAAATTGGTCAGTGTAGGAGAGGACACTTGATCTTCCAAGGAGGAAATCAAAGTGGTGACATGGCAGTCTTTAGTTAGTCCTGACATTGCTCCTGTAAAATTACCTCTGAAATAAATTCGTAGTCAGTTGGAATTGAATATGGTTACAAAAGATAGCGTGTTTCCCCAGGAAGAAGAACTCTGAGGGAATGTGATCTGATACTAAGTGTTACAGGTCCTGAGGATGCAGAGTGGCACTGCTCCTTAAGTGCTCAAGACTGTCTCTGCTTCATTATATCCAATTTTAATTGAATGCATGTTAGGGTCTTTAGACAATGAAGAGAGTCCCCTCCCTTGGGCAGATTGTTCCACTTCTTTCTTTTTACTGGTTACAGAGAGGATTTAAGCAACCAGTTCACACTTGTAAGCTGAAGTTATGCTGCAGAGGGTGGAGGCATTTTGCTTTTGCCAGAGTCATCAGAGTTGCACTAACTCAGTTGTCTGTGCAGCATGTTAGAGGTGTGCGAGTTGCTTCAGGTGTTTGGTATAAAAATCTTAAACCAAAAGAAGGCAGTTTGATGAAGATGAAAAGCAGTCAGTAAAGTTTTCGACAGTAGGTATGTCTGTGGATGAAAATGCCTGTATTCTGGGTGCCAGTAATTTGTTGAACTTGTAAATAGTGGTGTTTATTTAACAAATCTTTTAAACAGTGCATATATTCATGCTGTTGCTCTGAGATTGCTGAAACAATCATCAATGTTTCAATATTGAAAACATCAGTAGTTGCAATATTTTTGAAGTTGAGCATCATGGAAACAAATAGTATGGAAATGTGGCAATCCGGTAGTCAGTGAGAATGAGTGTGTCTGTAGACAAAGTGAGAGTGAGCAGGTGCTGTTGTGTTTTGTTGGTATAATTTCTTTTCATTTTTACTTCGTGACTTCTGAAATGCAATAACCACAGACTTGATGTAATTAACATTTTTGGTAAGTATTTACCTTATTACGTAACATTTAAACTCCTGAGTTCACTCAAAGAAAACTAATGAAAAGGATAAGTAAATTAGGTAATGTTTTTTAAAAATATATATATATTTTTTGATACTGAGAAAAATCTCTGCTAGGTAACACAGTGGCAGCTTGTAATCTTCATATAGATTTTACATGCAGGCTTCTAAATAAATGGAAAGATTGTCTAATACTAGTTTGTTTTGTTTTTCAGGCTTTAGAAAGAATGCGTCCTTACCTGTGTGATAAAATCATAGCTGAGAGGCACTTTGATTACCTGCGTTCAAAGAAAATACTCACTAGAGAGGACACAGAAGAAATTTCTTCTCGATCTTCCAGTAGGAAGAAAACTGGGAAATTATTGGACTACTTAGCAGAAAACCCAAAGGGACTAGATGCTTTGGTTGAATCTATCCGACGAGAAAGAACACAAAACTTCCTGTTACAAAAGATAACTGACGTAGTGTTGAGAGTCAAAAATGAAAAACTTGAAGCTCTCAAAGGTGAGAGGTTTGCAATAATATAAGACATAAGTTTTACTTTGACAGTCTGCAAAATTAAACTCCAACAATTCTTGAAATCATATTTCTTAATACAGATAATTTTTTTTTTCTTCTCTTCCTCTAGTGTTTGAGACAACATTCTTGGAAATATCACCAGTTTCAGTTTAAGATCCTAGTGCATGTGTCCTGGCTTTACCTTTTTACATTCTGAACACATCATAGAGAAAAACTTGCAAAAAACCCCTATCATGTGTTGTGATGGATAAGTCTGTCTTCACATTTCAGTTTCATTTGCTTTCTACACGGTTCTAATTCAGAACTCAAAACAGGTGGTTATCTTCCATCTTGCATTTCTCTTGAAGCTATTTACTGCAGTGGCAGGATGCTCTGGTTTTGTTAAACATTGCACCTCAGCAGAAGATAAGCCAGCAAATGCTGTATTCCTTCAGTGCCAAAACTTAAAATTAGACACTGTAAATGTACGTATGTGTTGTTTCATACAGGCGGAGAGGTTTCGTTGACACACAGAGCTTGAAGCGACTATATGTACTCATAGTTTAAGTCAGATAAAGAAAGTAAAAAAGCCTTCTAAACCAAAAACCTTACTTCCCCTTCCACACCCATCAAAAGAGAAATAAAGATGGAAGAAAATACATTTTTAACGCTAGAGGTGAAAGGCCTGAAGCTTTCTCTGGCTTCAGATAAAACAGCCTTCAAATGTGGTCCACTTCGGAGTAGAACTATGTAGCTGAATCTTTTTAAAGTTTGAAGAACCCAATGAGAAATCTGTCAAAGGATGGGTCAAAGGGCTAAAGTGACTTCCTAAAATGAAGCTTAAATTAATGGTGCGTCTTTGTCAAATAGTAGCTGATACAGAGACATAGAGAAATCATTCACATCAGCCGAGATAACCTGCATTAATTTTTTAATTTGTCGTGGATATCGGAGTGTCACAGGTGAGATGAAGAGGTTAATTTGTTAAAAATAGACAGTTGATCTTTGGCAATCTTGCTACTATTAAATCAGAGCACAGTTTTAAGAGTGCATGATATGGTAATTAAATCCAGTCTCTGTTTTCTGTCTTAGGTCTAAGCTGCAGCACCTGTATGACATCGCTGTATGGGGGAACAAATAATCTTTCTAGATCATATTCTGATGAATCTAATTTTTTTGATAAAACAAAAGACAAAGAATCCACCCAGATACATCATCCAGAAGAAGATTATAGCACCGCCGCATTTGTGTCTGCTGTCTCTCTTCATTCAATGAATTTACCAGTTGCAGAGATGGGAAATGCACAGAGTGCTGTTTTTTCAGCCACCCTTCCAGGGCCTGGAGACCCCGGTGCACCCCCTCTCCCCCCAGAGCTCCAGTCAGAGCAGCAAGAGCCATGTACTAGCTCAAGTGACAATTGCTTTTTGCCTTTAAGATCGCGTTCTCTTCAGCCACAGTGAACGTAGTGACTTTTGTCTGTTCATCCAAATGGTACTGAAACTTTGTGTGATGTCTGAAAAAGGTTAAAAAAATGTTTTCAAACAGTTCACCAGCAAAATCAGAGGAAACAATCTATGCTATTTACTGGTTTTAAGAAGTAATATGCTTTGCTTTTTTTTTTTTTTTTTTGTAATTCAGTGACTCTGGAGCTCCTTGATTATATGTTCTGTAGGGAGCTTTATTCAAAAGATCATGGTGTTATACCAGCAAAGGTTTGGTTTTTAAACCAGTGTATTTAAGATTTCACATTTGGTTGCAGATATTTAAGCTGCAGTTATAGAACCAGTGGGTTTTTTTTCTTCCTACAGAAACTAACAAATCTGCTTTTCGTAATGTTTCTGTGATGGTTGAATTGGGAAAGATGGTTAGGAAAAGTACTGAGTATTGAAAAAGAACTTTCTGAACTGAAAGCTTAAGCTCACTAAAAAGCTTAAACTCATTTACCAAGTGAAATGTTTCTCTGTAAGATAAATTCTGCCCTTTATATGTGTGTGTGCAGCTCCATTTCCAAAAAACAAAACAGACAAACAAAAACCAAACCCCAAATGAATCTGGCCAAATCTGTAGCTATGCTCATTTGCAAGAAGTCTCTTGTATGAACTCTGTTTTCTGTCCTGCTAGTAAATCAAAAGGCAGTGCTTTGAGTTAGCAAATATACTTCTACAAGTCTTAGCATATTATTCTTGTATATTAGTTAAAGATTTCTGATTTGAGATGCACTTTAAATATAAATTCTCATTAATAATGGAAAAGGAATGTAAACTGCTGTAACAGCATCATGTGGGCTGTAAGAAAATGTTACTGTATAATGCTATTAAGGAGCAAAGCTTGTATGTTTTGTCCCAGTAGGTAAGTAGAGGAGTCCTGTAGCAAGAAGGTATCCGTACCGGAAGGACTCTTGGGAATGTTGCACTTCAGATACCTACTCTTCAAAGCAGATAGACTGGTTTATGTTTCAGATTGTTTAGAGTCAAATGCATTTTAAACTATTTTGACATGGGAAGGTTCTCATTTCTTGACACAATGTAACGTGCTGTATTCCTCTCATGCTCTTGGGTTGTAATCTACTTTTTAGGAAGCTGGTCTATAACCACTTTAATAGGCAAAGACAGACTCTTACTTGAAAACACGTACAGTTGTGTTCTGCAGTACTACACTTCAAAGTCATTAGATGTTTTTGGTATATGAAAGGGTAGGTTTGATTTGAGGCTTTAAGTTATTTTGGCTCTCATACAGTGCTATAGCTGTGTAATTCCATTCACATTCAAACTTGGGTAATATTCCTAAACTGTGTTCTCCTTTTGTGGAGACAGGTCATCTCCAGGACCTCAGTATAGTCTCTAATTTTTTTTCCATGTTTACTCTGGTTTTGCAAGTAGCTTAAAATAAACTGCATGTTCAACTGCACTCTATACTTAATATATGAGTAGCTTACATTCAATAAAGATGTGGGCTTCTGTTTCGCATTTATAAAAGTCTTTATTTTTCTTGTATACATCTATGGTCATAGACTGTCAGGGCAGTGAAAATACTTTTCAACAAAACTGCTTGGTTCAGAAGGCACTCTGGAAGTTAAGTGCTTAAATATGCAAGCAAAATTTTGCTCTCTAATGTGAAATTAAGGGTTGGGTTAAATCCCTGTCCTCCATTAACTTGAACTGTAGTTGCACATACTTGGGATACCTAAAAATTGATTTGTCTAAATGCTCTCAGTAACCACTTGAAGAGCTGTGCTTAGGTTTGGAACCTTCTTGGATTCTTGTAAATGGAGGGGAGCGAGCAAGCTCGGCCGTAACTGAAAAAGAGCATCAGCTCAGGGTGAAGGCAGCCTTGCAGATCTAAATCCGAGCACACCAGGTGTGCTGCATGCTGCGTCACACAGCCCGCAGGAAGCCTACCTGTGCAGGGATCGCTCCTGCAGTGGAGCCTGTTAACCTGAGACTTTAAATGAATGTATTATCTTACAACATGTTTATAGCGTACATTTTTTTTAACATTTAAAATATTTTTATCACAACTTTTGGAATAAATTCTTTTGTATAATTGCCTGCTTTCCTGTCTGCCTCTCTCATTATTAAAATGTATCAGTTGTAAGAGCTGTTCATGCCAGTATCTGGACGTGTGGTTTTGGCTTTGTGTGTGCAGGAGGCTTTTGTTCTCGTTCTCTTGTGAAAGGTGGAAAGACTGACTTAATGTGAAACACCTGAGCCTGCAGGACTGCATTCAAGAGCAGTGTATAGAGAAGACAGGCATGTGAAATGAAGACCTTGTCTGCTTAACTACACTTTCTGTGGTTTGTGACTAGTATTGCTAACGTGGTTCTTGGTTTTGGGCTTTTTTTTAAATGACTTTCTTGTCTTGAAGAAGTTGAGTGATCAAGTGTTGCTTTCAGCCATGCATATATTAACTTCATTCTTATATAAACCTTTTTTTTTTGTTTTTATTAATAGCAAGGGAGAAACAAAACCTTTGAGCGCTGAGGAGCATGACTCAAAAAAGGATTTGCAAATGTTGCGGGGAGCATCGAGGCTCACTTCAGTGGTTGTTTTCATCGTACTTTGTATGTAGGGTTTCTTTCAAAATAATTATTATAGTATTGATTACGAGAGACCGGCTGGACACAGTTCAGTATCTTTACAGTGAAGGAATTGATCATACCATAACCAAAGTCCCTTCTTAGACCTTATCCTGCTTCCATGGTAGTGTAAGTAACCTAAACAGGGCTAGTCAGTATTTTAGCTGATGCAGCAGCAGATACATGAGCCTTGTTGACAAGGGAAGTCTAGTACAAACTTTTTCCAATAGATTTGAAAAACCTATTTTGGTAAAGACAGGCCATGTCACTGTTTATTGCTGGGTAGGTGACTTTGAAGCTTTATGTGCCCTGGATTAGCGAATGCTTGAACATTAAGGAAAACGTGTTTTCTCTCTACTTAGGCTTGCAGGTGTAAAAAAGGAGAAATGGAGGTCGTCTCAGTTTCACGTCTGATTTTCTGCCTCTGTCTATGGTCACTTGGAGAAAAAAATCCCCGAGTTACTGGGGGTGAACCCCGCGTACCCCGGGGCAGGCGCGCAAAGGTCAGCTTTTTCCACCTCCTCCTGCTGGATCCCGTTCACCACGTGCAAACCGGTACCCCACCCACATAAAAATTGTGTGTTCCGCCTCCCGGGGGCCAGGGCGGAGCCC